TAAAATACATTTCTTTTATATTCATTGATAGTTTATTGCACAATTTAAATTGTAAAAACGGATACACCGTTTGTATGCCTTAACTTCTTAATAAATGAACTTGAATAAAACGTGTACCTAAATACTTTTTGGTTGATTTGAGTTAAAATTAAGCACATGATTTTTTTCAGATTATTTATATTTAAGCGAAAGTTTAAAAAAGTACTTACACATATGTGTACTTAAGATTTCAACGAGGACCAAAGTTCATGTTAGTATGATAGCTTATAAAGCAATTGTCTTTTAAAATACATATTATATTTTATGCACATGGTACGGCAGCATGGGGAACATGTTGGGTTTCTACATTTAGACGTGAATGTAGTGTCTACATAACGCGGCAAGTACCCTACATTGTCGAGCCTAACTTCTGGTATCGATTATGAGACGATCGGTTTTTTGGTTAGATGGGGCTGGGCACCCCTGTATAGCTAGAGTCATGTCTGGGTCTTAAGGTACTGCCAGAGGTAATAAAATGAGAATCACATCGTATTTCATCATCGCCTTGCCTAAATTGATCCTGTACTGCAGTAATCCCAGCTTATCTTTCGAATATTTTCTTCTTAACCGCAACGTGTACATTATCCAGCAGTTCACGACTACCAAATCGAAAAAGTGACAGAAAGCTCGTAATGTCCATTTCTTATACTTACGCTCCGATAGTATGCTATCAATCTATCGCACAAATCTATCCCGCCCATGCAGCCGTTATAATTTTTCACAATAGCTGGTTGATATACATCAATTTTTCGCCTCCGGACCTTGCACCAACGCTTGGAGCTATCAGTAGGCACACTCCCTACACATGAAGAGAACTGATTTTGTGTCCTTACCTTTTAGAACACATACATTGTCATCGCTTCTCACTTTTTCATCTCATTCACCTCTTGCTAACTGCTTGTCTCTCTTCAATTTGCTGGTAACTGATCCTATTCTATTTGACATGACTCTCCCCGTCAGATAGATTTCTTGTCACTTTAATTCAAGTGCTCAGCTAGTTTCAAACTCGTGAAAAATCTATCAGTGTACAGAACACAGTGGTTGTTGATCATGCGGCAAAGAGTTATAATATCTTTACCAACATAAATTTCCAAGTCCAGGACCAGGCCATCCCGAGCAACTAGCACATAGTTTTTGAGGCCAAGTGGGTTAGGTTTAGATGGCACGTATTGGCGGTACTCGCATCGCTCGGAAAAGGGGATCATCTGCTCATCTATTGACATGTGTTTTGAGCGTGGTAATGTGTGACATTTGTTTTGGGATAGACTATAAGAGAGGTCGAATTTTCAACAGTTTGTCAGATCTAGTGGGTTGTTCTGCCTTTGTGAAGTGAATAAGATTGCGAAGCTCATAGAGGCGTTGCCAGGTGATCGCTTCGCGAATACGCACGCACGATCCTCTCTTCCAGTAGAGTTTGCTCTGAGAATACTTTAGTGTCCCCATCATTAATAGTACACCCGAGCAGCGGATCAATTCAATAGAATTGGTATTAACTGATCTGAGATCACGTTTTTGTGCGGAGTATAAATTTGTTTGTCCTTCTACTAACTTCTAAAAATCTTGCCCCAAATATTCGAAAAAGAGTAAATAAAACTTGAAACTTACCATTACACACGTTACTCCAGATATTCGACAGTAAAAATACACTAGAATTTCGTTATAAAACTTCGTAATCTCATTTTTAATATATTTTTTACTTAACAAAAAAAGCGCGGGATATTGTGGAAATTTTCAAACTGAAAAATTCAAATTAAAACTTCGACAGACCATTGACTCCTAGAACGCCATCTATTGTAATTTGAAGAGGTTAAGACATTCTCTAAAGAGCAGTGCAACAAACAGAAAAAAGCAAGTGATATTACAAAACAAGATGTTTACACTGATACAGTTATATACAAATCATATTAAATCAAGTCACGGTACATAAATATTATACATACATACAATTAGATATTAATATACATACAAACATAAAAAAAATACAAATTAACATTAATACTGATATTTTTTGCAGTCTTTATGTGTATACCCAAGGCATAAAAGATAAAATGCTTTTAATAGCCCAGACAATTAAGCATTTCGCCTCGGAATCCAGAATTCTATAACGCCTCAAAACGTTTACATGGCAAAGTAAAGCGCATTTACAGGAGTTATGTTACGAAAACTGCTGTTGCAATCTCAACGTTGGTATTAACATAGCAATTTGACACAAATCCTTCATGGTGTAAGATTTTCAAGTGAAAGTTTTTTCATTACATACGTATCTATGCAAGATCAATGCGTACGAGGTATATACTTATTTAAAAAACAAACGCTATTCAGCTTAGAGCAGGGTCTAAATTTATTTAAGTTACCTACTATTTACAACTACCAACCACTTGTCATAGTAAATCTCAATCGTATATATTTTTATAGGCACTTAATTATGGATTGATTACAAGTTTTAGGGCAAAAGGAACTCGAGAGCAGTAATTTTACATCGAAAGAACTGCATGCATTGTCGACCACTGGCTTATATGGAAAGGATGGATACCTACTTTGAAAGTCCTCAATTTTCGAACACGAGTTCTAACTTGGTTCTTACTATAACGCGGCAGAAACTGCTCGGAATATTAATGCTGTATTTGGAGAGGATACTGCTAATGAACGCACCATGTGTTTTCGGTTTAAATCATGGAAACTTCGACTTGCAGAACGAACCACGTTGAAGACTGTCATGCACGTTGTAGCCGATCCTAATTAATCTACTTAAGAATTAGCGGTATTGTTTAATGTCTTGTCAAAAATATCGACTAGCATCATAATTCAACAAGATAAAAAAAAAACCTTACGTTGCCTTGTTATCGTTATAGTAAATATTAGAACAAATTGTGAAATGCAACTTATATAGATATAGTCATAAAGTTCTCACACTAAACAATACACCAAAGTGTAACAAATGGCGGTCTTATAGCTGAAAGCGATTTCTACCAGACAACCTTTGGATGAAGAGTAAGAGTAAGAGAATACTAATTGCAACGAAACGGGGGTGTAATCTTAGAGTAGGTTATTCCAAATAAATAATTGAAGCATAGTAATAATAATAGACACCAGATGAAAAATACAATATACTTACAACATAATATATAAATACATAAAATATGACACATACAAATACTTATGAAACGAAGAAAGGGTTCTTAGTAGTTAAATATATTAAAAAGACAAATAATGATTTTTACGATTTCTTTGAAGATATTTAAAGATTGAGCAAGTCTTGAAGTCGGAAAAGCATTCCAATATATGAGCATTCCGACGAAGAAGAATTGGAAGCCACTCGAGCTGGATACAAAATTGAGATATATGATCATATTTGCGCAATCCAAATATAAATCGAATACAAAAGTTTTGAAGCCGCTCAAATTTATTAAAGTAACAATAACCAAACGCTAAAAATGCAATGACTGATCCTCAAGCAAAGCTTACTAATAATAATAATAATTTTATTTATCTCACCAATGAAAAGGTGGGTGGTAATGGTAACTTATTGTTGGTCTATTCATGGTGTTATTTAGAATAGCTTTCGCAACCTAATGGAAGCAATAATAACAGAGTTTACTGAACTGAATTTTGAACAATGATAGCGATAGCAAAACTAGTAGTGAAACAACCCCGAATCCATCATAACGCAAGACCTCACACTGTACGAGAAACCATTGTAACTCTAGTCCTAAACCACGTTGTAGTTGTATCATTGCAAAGCTAAATGAACTTCCGACTAGATGGCAATTGATCAGAGTTTCAGCACGTTTGTTTTTTTTTTATATTGACATTTCGGAACCTTTGCAGGTTCTGTGTTCCGTGTAAAAGTAATTTTGAAACAATTCAAGTTTAAGCGGATGCCGCATTCCAATTCGAATTCACTCATGTGTCCAAATTCACGTTATTTAGTGAACAAATTCTATTGACTCCGTCTTTTATATAAAAAAACAAAACAAAATTGATTGATTATACTTGTCTCAGATATTCTATTCCTATATCAGTGCGAAACTCATTTCACTTGTGTCACGACACGTAATTATCAATTCAAGATTGAGCGGATGCCGCTTATTGATATGAATTCGGACATTTGAGTGAATTTAACTTCCTACCTTACAATAACTACGATTAATGGAAGTAAATGCTATAGTGCTGCCATCTATCGGCTAGTAATTCAAATTTCTTTTCCTTCTTTTTTTCTAATGCTTACTCATTAAGCGTCGGAGAGTGGTCATTAGTTGTTGCTCAGCATCACACTATGTTTTTGAATTTACGTAAACTAATTAGTTAGTCGTGGATAGCGTATTTGACTACATGTTTAATTATTTATGTCATATTTAATGTATCATTGTTAATGAAAAATGTGTAGTTGTTAGCTATTCCCAATAAAGAGAAAAAAAAAATTCAATTCTGGTTTGGATTTTTACAGAATCGCAGGGCTGGTCACGAAACATATAACAAGTTGCCAGAAATCAATTTCGGCACATGTGAAACTAGTTTCGTAATGGCGTGCAATCAACCAACAGTATCTCTGATCTCTGAGACACTGACACCGTCAACATTAAATGTTGACTGTGCACCATATCCTGGACATTAGCAAATTTTACTGTTTATTGCAGATGATGCAAAGCGATACTAGTTTTATTATCTAAATCGTGATTAAATCAGTTTCATCAATAACACCTATGCGCTTTATACGAGACTACTTGTGTCATGAAACTAATGCATGCATACATTCTGAAGATGGATGTAATATTTACACGTGAATTTGCTAGCGAAATTATTTATTTATTTAACACTTCATGTACATAATACATTAGCGGACTTAATTCCTTAGGCATTTTCTATCAGTCAACCAGAAATTTGAAATTAATCAATGAAAGTAATATCGTGTATCTACATTTGTAATGTAAGTTCTCCCTTAATTAATGGGAGTAATCTAATAAAAATCCTGAGAATAAAGTTTAAAAAAAAACTTAAGATTTAGTAAAAAATATATTCATAAAATGTTCAAGCACAACTTTTTTTTAATATATAATTATTATAAAATACTTTTAATTCTTTCAGAATCACACTTAAATGGAAGTCTATCACACACTGATCACAAGTTGGATCATCATTTATCATAACAAACATGAAATATGAAATTATGAAAGCTATAGAGTAAACTAAACTGCATGCAATCAATATGCAATCAATAATACACCTTAGTTTTTAAAGTTTGGAGATCCATTCTTGCACAGCTTTCAGATCAACTGGATCCTCATCATCACCTGTATTGGCGGAACACTCTACAACATCCACTTTGGAGCCAATATGAGAAAATTCAAAATCTTTTCCAGTTTTTCCAAGATATATGGTGTTGTTTGACTGAGACGGATCCACAGACTGCAGCTGGCTTGATTTCGTGACTCTGACGAGATTGCTGCAAAAACAACTTTTTTCAGATAGACTTCTTTCTTAATATAACAAAGTCAATTTATAATGAAGTTTGAACTTGAATGAATTTTAAAACCAACAATGCTACTAATAAATAGTGTTTATGATATGAATACTGCAGGGTACAACTTACATTTCTTTTTCTAACAAACTCTTGATTACTTGGCTTCCCTTAGCAAGTGGTTGGTCTTGTTTATTGCAGAGAATTAACAGAGGTGGGTTATTACCTCGCACTACTGAGTCCAATAATATGGTGTAGAGATATCTACAAAAAAGTTATTCTTTCGTTAACACTTACTGAAATACAGACATTAAATAGAACACAAAGGCAATAAACAAATGAATTTTTTTGCTCATTAGAATATCATTTAGCTTTGGTACTTTTTTAAAATTATCATATTGTCTTTAAGTTTTTTATTTCTAATTTTAACTTTGGTTTAGGAGAGCAGTGGGTAGTTTATTCAGTTATGCAGTGAATAAGAAACATAAGAAGGGTGACCAAAAATATGTTATCTCAAACTACTTTCTGCTTCAGAAGATGCAAGCCATTGATCTTAGCTGCATCTAACCACAACTACTATGCACTGAAAATGTACTGTGATTTGTGGTTTATGCTTATTTGATTCCATTCATTGCCTCAGAAACATCTGTGCCTCTGCATTATGAACATTCATAAATGAACTGTTGATAATGATGGGTCAGTATTATGTCAACTATTGTCATTGTTTGTGTATTTTCCTTAGCAACATTACAAAGGTAGGAGTGGGTATATTAAATGGTATTTTTTTGATATTATTAAATTAATTTTTTTTGGGAAATGTGAATGAAGAATGAAGTTCTTACTCTGCAACATCTCTGATTTCCTTCTGAATAGTGACAGAATCAATCACGTAGATAATAGCCTTTGCACTATTTTTGTACTGATCAAAGAACTTGTTCCTTAATCGTTCTTGCCCCGGAAGGTCTACAAGTCGGAGAGATTTCTAAAAGTATGAGAAGATAAATTAGAAGGTTAAACATATTAGCGCTCTTAATTAAATAACAAATTATATTCTTACGGTTGTAATATATTCTTCCACATTCTCTTTCATTGAAGTAAAAGTTTGTCTATATTGAGAATATGCTAGTCTTACAAACAGTAGAGTTTTGCCAGAATCTGAGAGGCCGGCAAGTAAAATACACGTGCGTTGATGACGACGCCTTGTAAAGCACCACCAGATTACTGTAAATAATTTTTATAATTCGAACAAAACTCTGTCTTGAATTTTGTAAACTTTAACAATAGAAAATACTAGTAAGTATAAAACTTATACCAAAGTAGCACACTAATTAAATTATGAACTATAAAATGAATAGTGTCAAGTTTATTCAAATATTCAGACTTACACAAGGTGAAAATTAGAATAACAACACTAAGCAAGGTTATATACCGCGGATCATTAAATATTGGTTCAGTGTGTATCTTTTCTTTGATCACTTCGGAATCCATGATTGTTTTATTTTAGTCTAAAAAAAGAATAGGAGGACGTGCTTCAAGTAAACCAAATTGACTTTAGTGCACAGACCAAGAAGAAGATACTATTTAGTGAATGAGGAAGTGTTTAAAAAAAAAAATTAGTACTCAAAATCAAACTAGATGTCACTAGCGATGTTTGGATCTTGTTTATGATATTTATTCAAATTTGACATAATTATATAATTTCGTGTTTCTTATAATTTCTAACTTTCAAATTTATTTTATTTTATTTGAATCGTAAGTTTCAGTTATTTATTATGTTACGTGTAAAGGAACGATGTTTGGTTTATATGTCGACATTAGTGATGAGCTAACTTATTGGTTGCTCGTACTTTCAAATCTTTCTCGCTCGAACTTTTCAAATTTCAGATTTTAATATGTTAGTTAAAAGGAACGGGAATGACTGTCTTTGGTCCACTCATTTCTTACAAAAATTTACTTTCGCTAGAGTCGCCATCTAGTGGAGGTGCTTTTTTAATGCTTTCTTTTTTTTAAATACTTCCTCATTAAGATCGGAATTTGAAATACGTGACGTAAATCGAGACATATGTTTATGTTTTGACGATGATTGTACAATATACTATGTTTATGACTTGTTATAAAATATGTTAATAATAATGGATATACTATTAATTCTTGAAACTTAATTGGCAACCGGCCGCGGGAAAATTTATAAGGCAAATGTATTTCCTGGTTTTCTATACAAATCTTAGAATAATAAAAAAAAGGTAGTTATTTTTGGTATGTTGTTAACTTTTAACTTTAATATACAAAACACCTATTCCAATGTAGCATTCATAGGCCTCACAAATTTTAATACTAACATAAAAAACATCTCTTAAAATAAAGATGAGTTTCTTCAAACATTTTCATGAGAAGTGTGTTTGGAGAATAGTGACAAAACATTGTATAACGTAACTCGAAACGACGTAAGTCGGGGACCTCACTCTTAGATAAATATGTACTGAAGATAGGCTGTATGGGCTTAGTTCTCCTGGCATTCCCAAATGCAGAAAACTCGACTAGCTAGTCTTTGGCGTAACAAATCGCATTTGAGATGAACATAGACTGCCTTTTCCATCTACGGATACTGCCCTTTTGTTTAGATAATTAGTGTTTCGTTCCTAGCCCATAATTGTAGGAGCAGTTTCAAAATGCGCGCTTTCTATGTGGCTTCAAACTCAATATTATCGATACTTGTCATTGGATTTACCAAACATTAACACCTAATTGCCCTGTTACGAAATCAAAATTGTTTTAACACATACATGATGGGGATGCCTTAACACGAGACTTCGATATTACCTATCGCAGTGTTATCGATATAATAGACACACGCTTGTTAGTCAGGAACTACCCTATATAGTTTGTTGTCAGCAGCCGGGTGACACTGTAGTATAAAATTAAAATTTTTATTTTTGTATGGAAAGTGGTGCCATCTCTTGGCCATGGCGTTGCAATTTTTACTGTATTTGCATCGGGTTAGCCTAGATGTCGCTATAAACGAAGTTTTAGAGTTGTCAAAATATATAATACAAATTAAAAATTACTAATCAAAATTGTATTGTGATTTCCTACAAGAATTAAATTTAGTGCTTTTTGTTGGAAAATAGAATATTAAAAAATGTTTGCAGATTTTTCTGAAAATATTTTAACTATTGGCAACACTGTTAAGAAAACAAACTTCGGACATTTTCCGTTTCTTTAAAAGTGTTTTGTGAACTTTGTTGTCTTCTGCGCGTTTACAATATTTTTGGTTTGTTTGCTCCCTTATTGACTTGGCGTGTTTTACGGACTTCTGTTGCTTTTTCGAACTTAATTTTGACCATTGAACAAGGACACCGACACGGATTCATTGCACGATTACCCCAGCTCTGCTTATTGGACCCGACCTCTGCCTATTTTGAAGACTTCGCTACACTCACTGGACTTTGCTTATTGAACTGAAACATGCTCAAGAATCCTCGGTCAAGTTGTTATTTAGGGTGTGGAGAAGCCGAACAAAGTAAGTATCTAAAAGTTATGATTTTTTAAGTTTTAACTTCAATATAAATAGAATTCACAAAAAATAATATTGTCGATATACGAAAGAAATTTTAATGTTCCTAGAAATATATAATTTTTGTCATAATATTCATTGAATATATTTATTTCAGAACCACTTCATTGTTTCCCCAAACCATTGGAGAAAAACAATGAAAGATTTAATATCTGGAAGTCAGTACTTGACGAAAGGACTCGAGAAAAAGGAGATATTTATATATTTAACCAAATACGACTGTGTCACAGACATTTCGAGAATTATTATAAAACACAATATGGTCGACTAACAAGAAATGCAATACCAACACTTCATCTTAGAAAAGGTAAACATTTATTCAAGTACTTTTTTGATGTCTTAAAGACAAAGACTTACCACTACCACTACCATATATACCACTAGACAAGCTGTGAGGTACTAAACCATGATGTTTTTCTATAAAGTTAATAATAATCACATAATAGTGAAAATGTACAATATAAACACTGCATTTTGCATTAAAACACTATACTTATTATTATATTAATAAATACATATATTCAACTCACATATATGTAAGCCTGATGTAAAAATAAACCATACTTTATAATAATACAAATAGGTTTTGATTAAATAGATATAAGTTCAGTGTAGTTGTTACATTTGAATTTAAAAATATAAGAATAATATATGTATTATTTTTATGTGTATGATTTTATTAAATGCTTCCGCTTGAAAACATGTTTATTTGGCTATTTCAGATACTACCACTCCTACAGAATTTAAATTGACAGTGGAATCATCAATGGAAACATTGAAAAGTTTGGGTAAGTACCTTAATTAATGTTGGAATTCTCACACACCCTTGACCACTTTAATTAAAAATATAGCTAATTATCAAATGAAACATGTAAAGAATGAGGAGTTTTTACGGTCTAGAAAATTACTAAGTTTTTAGCTTGATCACATTTATCTAATTTTTGTATTTAAATATTTGAGAATTTTTTATTTTAAGTTGTTATTAATATGAATTAATATTTATTTGTCATGTACAAAGGACCAATAAAAGCACCTAAGTGTTGAAAATTGCAGCCCCCATTTCTAACCTGCTCATGTTTGTCTATTTTTGAAGAATTAACAAAATTTTTGAAATAATTGCAAGGGCAACTCTTTCTAATCCAATTTGATGATAAAATACACCGAGACACAAAACATACATAAAAATGAAAAAACACATTTCTAATATTTTTGTTCATTCATATATTTACTATTTGTGTATACAAATAAAGACTATTCCTTTAGATTTTTAAATACTGTGTATTTTCTGTGAAATGTGCAGACCATATATCAGGTAGTTTATGCCTATGAATTTTTACATTATGATTATTTTACTATTTCAGAAGATACTACTAATCCTAGAGTTGAAGAAGGGCCGTCAACCTCATCTGCAACAAGCAGTCATAATATAACAGAATCGCCAACAGAACCATTGACTTTTTCATCCAAAACTGAATTGAAAAGCTTAGGTGAGAATCTATTTATTAATAATTGTTGGAAATGTACATAAAACCTTTATAAATCATCTCTAATTCCCTAAATATTATATTTGATCAATTTTGCATTTGCAATGCTATACATTTTTCAATAAGAATATTTTCATCCCTAAAGTTATATTAATAACACTTAGTAAGAAGCTAGTCTTTTTGACAATCCAGTGAATGTGTTATGGATGAATTCGAGAAGGTAGTAAAAAATGTTTAAGCTATAATTTTGTTTTGTCATAGCTCTAATAAGTGTAATAATTATTTGTTTACAGAACAAACAAGAAAAAAACAAAAAAATATAATCCATAGGTTATCTCAGAAAATTTTAAAATTAACAAAGAAATGTAAAAGTCAGCAGACTAAAATGAAAATGATAAAAAAATTATCAGAAAAAAAATCATTTTTAAAAATTGTTGAAGCAATGCCTGAAACTTTTAAGGTTTTCATGAATATGCAACTAAAAGGCAACAAAAAATCTAGAGGTATGAAATTTTCGATAGAAGAAAAAGTAATGGCTGCCTCCATTTTAAAACAAAGCAATAAGGCATACAATTTCTTACGCAAAATAATAGTACTGCCATCTAAAAGAACATTGCAAAGACTTTTAAAGGTAATAAAAATAAAGCCAGGGCTGAACACAAAAATTACCTATTGAAAAAAGACTTTACATACTTTTGTTTGATGAGGTAGCATTATCGCCTGGATTATATTTTAATAAACATGAAATCATCGGTTTTGAAGATTTTGGACAAAAAAAAAAACGAAAAATATTGCAGATCATGCTTTGGTGTTGATGATTAAAGGTGTGAAATCTAAAACGAAACAACCAATTTTATTTACGTTCTGTAAAAGCGCAACAAAGAATATCGAATTAAAAACAATTATAACTAATACCATAAAACAGCTAAAAGAAGCTGGTATTATCATTGTAGCCACGATTTGCGATCAAGGAACATCAAATGTTAGCACAATTAAAATGTTCCAAAAAGAGACAAGGGAGAAATATTTACGAGAAAATATAGAGTACCAATCTAATTCTTTCGAAATAGACAATTTGAAAGTTTTTCCTTTATTTGACACGCCCCATCTATTGAAAGGAATTCGAAATAATTTTCTGTCTAAAAATATAAAATTCCAACAAAATGGGAAACAAAAAATTGCCAAATGGGAACATTTAAAAATGCTTTTGAATGAAGACACAGGTGAAGACGAAATAAGAATTTTGAATAAATTAACCGAATACCATGTGTATGAGGAAAAAATTCCAAAAATGAAGGTTAAATATGCAGCCCAAATATTTAGCCAAAGAGTGTCAGCAGTAATGGGATTTTTAGCACGTAAGTTTAATTGTATTTATTTATAATTTGATAACCTCCATCATTCATACAAATACCGGGAAAGAACTTGGACATAATTTACTTGTCTTTCTATTTTAGCAATGTACAGTGCTTATGCTTTATCATCATCATCATCACCAGCCCTTTTACGTCCCCACTGCAGGGGCCTTCCTTATGGTTAAGGAGCATGGGCCATGACCCTCCACGCTGGGCCAATGCGGATTGGAGGGTATTAAAGACTGCAAATGCAGCCGGGACCAACGGCTTAACGTGCCTTCCGAAGCACGGAGTAGCTCGAGATAATAATTTTTTGGTCTCCCATCCCGTGACTGACCGGGCCGCGGCGCTTATCCACTACGCCACCGAGCTACTCAAAGTGCTTTTATAAAGTTTTAAAATTGTTGTACAGAACTATTGGTACTCTAGCCACACTTACATTTTCGTGATATTATTACAGCAATTACTACATAAATTATTTTATTATTTTTTTCAGGACGCAATGTGCTACCTGCTGAATGTGAAGATACGGCAGACCTTTTATTGATATTTGACAAATTGTTCGATTCTTTTAATGGACACTCTTACTGTGATACAGCAAAAGTTCTTAAAGGGTGTCTTAAGAATAATTCCCCACATATTCAGTTCTGGACCCAGGAAATAATCCCGATTTTAAAATCAATACAATTTGAAAAACATATTATACAAAAAGATGGTTCAAAAATTGTCAAATATGAAAAAATCCCATCTGTTCAGAACTGGATACATAATGTAAATACTATCATAGAACTGTGGAATTATTTACGAAAAAATTTTAAAATAAAAAATATTATAATGAGAAATTTTAACCAGGATCCCCTAGAAAATTTCTTTTGCTGTATAAGAAGTAATGGAATCAGAAATATCAATCCAACGTGCATGCAGTTTATGAATGCATTTAAAACAGTTTTGATTAATAACATAAATTCAAGCCATTCTATTAATGCTAATTGTGAAAAAGATGATTATGAGCAATTGCAATCGTTGAAATTTTTATTGTTAGAAAAATGTGACTCTCCCTGCTACACTGATTTTGCATGCGAAATTGATTCTTTAATTACTGCTTTGAATGAAATAACATCAAGTGAATCGATTATACATGTTGAGGCGAAAAGATATGTTGCTGGTTATATAATAAAAAAATGTAAAACAAATATTTATAAAAAATGTGAAGTATGTAATGTCGATTTACTGGAATCTGAGAGGAATGTTGATGCATTTAATTATGCAATTGATTATACAAAGAAATCTTTATTTTATACACGCGATGATTTTGTTAAACTTCTCAATGAAATTTATTTTATGATTATTGCATGTTTAAGGGATACACCTCAAATGACCGATATTGATAAAAAAATTATTTTCTTTATTGATTGTCGATGTGATTTTTCAATGATCAGTTGTCAAAAACATAAATTGGTGTTGGTTAAGTATATCATTACGTTATCAATTAATTTAATCATTAATAGTTGGTGCACTGGTGTCAATAGATTATTAAATGGGAAGATTGTTGATTTTGATCGTAATGATGAAATAAAATTACAGGCTTTCAATTATAATAAAATACATCGTAAGAAAAAGTGTTAATTAAATATTTTTCTATCAAATGTGTAAGATAGATAAACATGGTCTTTTTATTTATCATTTTAAAGTAAAGATTTTTGTGTGATAATTTGTCCCATTATAATATACTTGTTAACTTATTAAATATCATCCCAGTAATTCTTCTATGTTGATGTCAGAATTTCTTCCTTACTTGATGAAAAAAAAAATTGTAAATATTTAATTATTCTTCAATCTTTGTATTTTGTCTTACGTTTAATTCTCATCAAAATTTGTTCAGTCAATTTTTACGAGACGTGTTAAGATTGTTTATCTATTTTATCATATTAAGTATCTATGGCTGACTTTTTGTATTTTCAAGTACACACGACTGCACGTCAGGGTACCATGAACTGTCAAATTTCTCTAGTTCATTTTAAACTCTACTTTCAAACTCTTAAGGTTGTAACGGTGCGTCGTACCACCGTTTATTTCGTCCTAAGTTTATCAACTGAAATAGTAACTGTCAATATTTTGCAAACTTAATTAATTAGCTTTATTATTTTAATCATACAAATTGAATATATTTTACATGAAGATAAAAAAAACAGCCTAAAAAAATTATTACTGTAGGTAACATGCATTTCTGATTCCTGATTTTCTTAAGTAAGAGAGAGAATTACTTTTATAGTAATATCTGTAATGGAATAAATTAAGATTATCATTTATAGAAAAAGAGTCGGGTGCTTGAGAAAGAAATATCGTCTAATTTTTTCTAATAATAATAGAAATCACAGTGACCAATGTTTATCTGATTTCTACTATTACCAATAAATCAATTTGATTATTTTATCTTTATAGTTTAGTTACATTTTATTATGTAATTTTATATGATCTGTAATTATATGAATAAAATACGCTAACTGAATTATACTGCTGGTTTGCTTGGAATATAGTATAAAGAAAATTATACATTTGCTCTTTAATTTATAAAAAAATATTAAATATGGGAAAAATATACTATAAAGATTTTTTGACTATATTTTATCCACATATCGACGACACTGGAAAGCAAACACGTAGTAACCCGCAAAACCTAAATTGTTCCTTAGGACAGAATAACTTTTTATTTTATTGAAAAAATATTTAACATCAACATAACTCTAAATTGATTATTAGAGAAGATTTTTTTCGAATAAAATAAAAAGTTTTTCTGCTTTGAGAACAATTTTGGTTTTGCGAGTTACTAATAATCCCTAATAAACCAAATTTTAAAAATAGTTATCAGAGCCATCTATTAGAAATACTGGTCATTACTATAACAGGTTAAATAGCATGCATAAAACTTCGCATAGAAACTAACGCCATCTCTTGGCCATGGCGTCCGCTTAAAATGAAAATTATTCTTAAGTGGCGCATCTATACCAGTATTATGTATTATCTATGGTTGTCAGGAACATGTCAAGAGTGTCAGTCAGGTTACCAAATTATCTGTGTAAAATTTCTACAATGGATTTTGTCCTCTATAGCCAACGATTTTTGATTTAAATTAAAAAAAAAACATTTTTGTATAGTCTGCATGCAGTCGAGTGTACGTTTCTCTTTCTTATTTTTACGCAACTCTTTTACACAGTATAAGAATGACACAGTACAGAAACTAAGCCTATTTGATAAAATAAATACCTACGCTCCATTGAAACCATAGGGTTGTCATTTTGAATGTTTCTTTTACAAAATATAAAAGGAGTTCTGACATTATTAATCAATCGAATTGTAATAACTAATTAACAAACAAAAAATATACATATGCATTTGTTCAGACGGTGAGCTCTACTTATATTATTCTATATCACCACATGATATAGAAATAACATATGCGAAAAACTGGGCAATTCTGGAAATATATCATACGCACAGGTCGAATTGATAACCTTCATTTTTTGAAGTCTGTTAAATATCGGTTAATCTCAGCAAAAGACGATAGTTTAACATACGAGAACAACTTGTAAATCTTTGTTTTTATGTTGATCTTTAACTTGACATTACGGCATAATCTTGTACAAGTTTTGACGAACACATAGCCGAACTCTCTCTTCGGATCGGACGCGTGGTAGGAAGGTACTGCATTAAGGTGGCGCGCTCATGAGCGGCTGTTTTTGGGTGTTTTTCAAGCATTTTCGGATGGGACCGTACTACGTTTCAACCCAAAAAAATTCATGATACTGAAACGGGTATTTAAAAAAACATCTAAATAAAAAAAACTTATTTTTTATTTCACAAAAGCCTACTCCTTTCCTTAATCTTTCCTTCATTTTTTAAATAAAAACGATCGCGGAACGTATAACGTGACCCCTCATCTCGACGCGATATGCGTTACTGAGCACAGACTGTTACTGAGCGTCGTGTTAGGTCCACTTAGGCGGCTCGTCGGTGAGCGTGTTTATGTGTGCGTGCGATTTCGAACGCTTGTAGGCAGTTTCACCACTGTCTACTTATATTTACACTGTGTCTTTTACGTATATTGGGTACTGTGTAGGTGATAAGAAAAACTGTTTTGTGATAAGTATTGCGTCAAGTCAAATTAACCATATCAATACGTATTTGTGATCCGTACTCTACCGTATAATACCTAATAAACTTTAATGTCGCAGAAGATACTAAATAAACCGAAATATTGTGCAACTTTAAAGATAATAACTTTTTACTTTAAGAGACATTTCAACTATACCAAGCAAAACAAAATGAGTATTGACATTGGAGGTATATTAGACGTTTTAAATAGAACTTTAGAATCTCCATAAGTCAACCTTTTTAAGGGGAAAAGTAATTGGTTTATCGATTTATTTTTATTTCTGTTACAGGCATGAGAATAAAATACAAAGACAAAAATGAGACCTTTCTTGAAAAACATTTGGTATCTAAAGAACCATTTGGTCAATTTAAGGCATGGTTTGAAGAAGCTTGTAGTAGAAAAGAAATTCTAGAGCCAAATGCTATGTGCTTAGCTACAGTTTCTAAGTAAGTATAATTTAAATTTTAAATCAAATAACATACCAAGTAGACAACAACAGTAAGATTACAGATTGAAAAAGCAAACTCAAATCTCAGATAAACCTCTACAATAGCATCAGCATTCATCACCATCATGCTATTGTCCTTTATGCTCTATATTTCCTTATGAAACATATAAATATAATATGCCCTAATTCACATGGCTACAGTGCTGGTTGGTTAATATTATTGAATATATGTAGCCAGAACATACGGCTTAATGTGCCTTCAATAGCCTATTCCAAGTAGGTCTGATTTGCAATCATAATGTTTTGTCAGTCTCATATTTATGTAATGATATAGCTTATTTTATTCAGATTAGTATTATCTATTTTCATAAAAGGTAAACCTGACTGACTTATATATCAATCAGCCAAAACTACTGTACCTAGAAATTCGAAATTTGGTATCTTGAAATTTTGGTAGTCAGCACTAAAGAAAGCTTTTTAGAAATTCATGAGGTTTATATGAATACTTGTTATGGATAATTTTAAGATAATTAAATTTAGGAATATGTTTCTGCTATGAAAATTATGAGGTTTTATTACAGAAGTGGATTCCCTTCTGCCCGGTTTGTTCTATGTAAGGGTTATGGAAAAGATGGATTCAAATTTTTCACAAACTATGAAAGCAGGAAAGCCAAAGAAATGGTATGGGTTTTTACTAAAATTTCCATTTTATTTATAATATGGGAGTATGTAATGTAATAAACCTATTCTAAGGATATTGTGTCAGATTTCCGGTTTGGATTAGGTTAATGACAGTAAATCAATCACAGTTGTGGTTTGCTGCTTAGATTATATTATAAAAAATCTTATTTTTTATGTAATCATTAAATAACCTCCTTATGATTTAAAGTAAATTAACTATTGCAAAATATGGTTAAACAGAATATTGTTGCATGGTTTTGACAGTTACACTTTAATTAATTTTAACCAGTTACACTTTAATTACTTTTTAAGTTCCTACTTTTTGCAGTGCGAGAATCCAAATGTTGCAGCAACATTTTACTGGGAAGTGTTGAACCGATCAGTAAGAATTGAGGGTTGTGTTGAAAAACTAACCGATGAAGAGTGTACTACATACTTCCATTCCCGTCCAGTTCCAAGTCAGATAGCTGCTTGTGTTAGTCACCAAAGTATGCCAATTGAATCCAGAGATGTATTATGTGATCGTGAATCAGTATTGGAAGCAGAGTACATGATTCCTGGCAAAGAAATACCGAGACCTAAGCACTGGTAAGACCTTAAAAAAAAGAGATGAATTTGTGAGATATTCTGGTTTATTAATAGATGTTTGAGAGCATCACTATTTAGGACTAAATGAATTTTTCTCATAGTTACATCACAATTTCATAAATATTATTACACTGACTTTCTCAGGTTTCATTTTGGAAAAGTTCCTATTTATGATAAGCATTTATTGTTGTTTAAGGGGCGGATATATTATTAGACCAAAAGCAGTTGAATTTTGGCAAGGCCAGCGTGATCGCTTGCATGATAGAATTAAATTTCGACAATCTGCAGAGGGAGACACCATTGATGGCAAGTTATTGCATGAAGGTGAAGACGGATGGGTTTATGAAAGACTTTCACCTTAAAATTTGCACTTATTTTTATAGAATATGTACTGTAAATTTGAAATCATACAGTCTTCCATAGTATTAATTTATTTTATAAAATAAAAACTGTCATTTTCTGGTTATTTTTAATATTTCTCTTTGAATGCCATCTGTATTCTTCCATGCTGTTACACATTGAAATATATTACTTTTATTAATTGCTCTTTCAAACTGTCTAATCCCCCCTCCTACTCCAAAGTAGCATGTTTTTGCAGCTACATAAATTGAACCTTCAATAGATAATCTCTGTCTAAATAATGCTATTAATTTGTCATAATTTGTTTCATTATAAATAGTTTCTGAAGTAAGTATCAAATCATAAACCACGTTTTCCATCAGATTGTTGTTGAATGATGCCCAATCACCAGAATAAAAAGTGCATTTCTTTATGTGTTCTTTTCTCTCTTCATCTTCAATATTAAGTAATACATTGGGTATAGTAACATATTCTAACACTTCTTTATTCTGCAATATTAAAGACACAATGGTTAATATACAGATACAATTTATTGTCTTGCTAAATAAATAGATGATAATAGATTCAAGTTTTGATATTCTTTTCTTAGTGGTATGAGAAAAAATTCTATTCAATAGTCATCATGCTATTGGTACTAATAAAAAAAAAGCTCTTAAAGTCAACAGTAAACTTTATGGAAACATCAGATTTATAATTTTAGCTACCCTATAATTGTTGTTAGTATAGGTAGTGTTTCAGAGATTGGGGTGATATACTAATTATTAAGAATATCTTAACAGTGTCAAGTATTGATTTGATATTTGGCACACAAGACTTTTCAGTTACTTTAATGAACTTCAAACTACTCTTAATACTTTATCAATATTACAATGGTATAAAATAGTGCTAATTAAAAGAACAACTAACCTAACAAACAGAATGACTACATGTGCTATTGATATTAATACTCACATAATCCTGAAAAGTAACATTTGCACCTTTTGTGAATGTATATATTCCCAATATACCAGCACCACAACCAAGGTCTAATACATTCTTGTCATTTAAGTTAATTGAATGTATATTTTCATTTAAATACTGAATAAGATCACTGGTACACTCCCATATTTTTAAACCACCTGTAATTATGAAATAGTTAATTGTGTTTAAATAACAGGCTTTATAAATATCACGTAACAGATTTTAGTTATAACATAAATAAAATGCCTTAATTCCAGTTGTCTCCAAATTAGCAATATTGTGTTGTATTCTAAATGCAACTATGTATATACTTAACTAAAAGTTACAATAATCTTTATTATTATTGTTTGTTTGCATTGAATATGATCCAAATGTATGGATTAATTTTTATTTCTGTCACCTACCATAAAGTAACAAGTTGCGAGAAAACAGTGGGTTAGGTATAAAATTAAAGTGACAATAAACTAAGATTATTTATAAATCTTCAAAAGAAAATAACTAACCTTCATATATCCCAGTTACAAGATCACTATTTGGCTCTCTTACAAAGTTTGAAGCAATTTCTGAAGATTGTTTATTTATATTGGAAATTGCATCACTCACCACAACATGACCTATTTCGACTTCACCGCACGTAAACATTTTAGCCTGTCCTACAATATTGTCCAACTCTTCTATCTGTTTATCCGGTATAACTTGTAAACTTGGGAGCCAATGAATTACTTGTTCAGCGGAAACTGATATAAAAATATTTTTTAAGGTCAAATAAACATGATTTTGTATATATATAAATATTTATAGCTAATTTTAAATGTACCTTTATTGTCGACCGCCTGATCGCCAGAAAAATTAAATCGAAAAGACATTGTTCGATAATTTAACTTTGAAAAACAAACATACAAGTTTAAAATTAAGGTTATATTTTTAAGATATTTTATCAGACTTCAGTATTTTTATATTTTCTTCTTTTATAGTGGTTAATTTGTTTTTGCTGAGAAATTTAAATATGTGTCTAATAAATATTTTGTGAATTCTTCAAGTGAATAAATAAATTTCTACTAGGACTGTTGATAAAATATCGGTATATCGAAATATCGATATTATTATTTAGAAATATCGATATTTATTACTAATACTTTATTGGACGATATATCGATAGTTTGATACTGAATGATATATTGAAATCTAGTCTTTCTCTAATCTAATATTTTCTTTAAATAAATTTTTAGTTTTTCTCGGCAATTAATTCAACTACGACAATATGTAGCTAGTATCTACTTATTGTTGTTGTTGTTATCACTAGTCCCTGTCACCTTTAGTATCTCTACTTCTACTTCTGATATCTGATTTCGATTTTCAATATCAGATTTTAAAACTATATTTTTTAATATCTGATATTGTAAGTACGAGTCAGATTTTAAAATACATTAAAAAAAAATGTAATTGACATTTTTGCAACTGGGTGTGTGAACTATGACAGTACAAAGCTAGATTTCATTCGTCCTGACTCCCTTGTAGGTACCTACGCACAACGAGTATCAGCTGTACGGCTGAAGTTCAATGATCTCTTACGATTTGATGAAATTAATAAAAAAACCGACTTTAGTTATGTTTTGGAACTGTTACAATCATTTAATACATTTTATTGACGATTTGAAAAAAGAAAATCGCTAAGTAACCAGGAATTGCCGCGCAATGACTTCACATGCTTTTTCGCACTAATCTGTTGGCAAAGAGCTACGGTAGCAGCTTGGCTGGTCCATAGGCATCGCAGCCATGCTTGTCCGGAGCATCGCATCGCAACGTTTGTGTAGTACCGAATCAATCATTTTTCCACACTAAAATGCTGTTAATCTACTCAACATACTATTCTCTCATATCACTACATGAACAAAATGTAAAAGTCAAGATACTTTTTATTACAAAAATAATTATAAACGCCATTTACTCACTACGCTGAAAAGCCTACCTAACAAAATAGAGCAATAACATTATGAACTCACATGTTTTAAGTCTTGAATATTTACTCTAAAACAGTGACTTTCATGTTATTTTATTAGTGATTTATTGGCTTACTTTATTCAAGCTCTCCTATTTATAAATTTCCGGTGAAAATTCATGTTGAACCTCATTCTCTTATCGCGATGGTCGATATTTTAATATGGCAGTGGCGGAAATTGAAACTTCTGTCTTTTAGTAGTCCCACGCGCTTATTGGTCGACACGCAGCAACAAGAAGTGTTCAAAGAAGCCACTTGCGCCATTAACTCACTGCGGTTTTCTTTTATGTAATTCGCTAGTTCGTTCTCTTACGTGGTTACGTGGTAATCGAAAGTGTTCATTCTATGCGTGCACACGAATTTCCTGTTTTAAGTTACTCGGGTGAATTTTTCAAACTCGTACTCGAGTGAAATAATATCACTTTATGACTTTGATAGAACTATATACGTTATATTAGATTAATAATATTAATCGGTTGAAGTAAACTAAGGTAAAAAGAGTAAGAAATAATAAAAAAAACGTAATTTTTACATACATACTTAAAGAGCAAAGAAAGATATTAATAATTAAAAGGTATTCATTCTGCGTAAGAATTTTTTTTTACAATAACTTGTTTTACAACAATATGTAATAGGGATGACGACTGGGTAAAAAAAGAAATTCTATTTAGTCAGCCAGCCAGACAATAGAAAAATATTAGGTACTTTTTTTACTTCACTCATTTTAAACGGGGACTCGCTAAGTCACAGTTTTGAAGAAAATGTACCAAAGCGTGACGTTAGGTGACATTTTAACTCAATGTATTGTCGTGTTTTAATGATTGGTAAAAAAATTGTGTTTAATATTTTCAAAAATCGATCTGACGGAGAAAAAAACAAAAAATAGTGGTCGTCCTTATTATTATAGAATGTTGATCCTTTATTAATCACCTTACGCTTCGCTACATACTTAATCTTTGTGTTTATTTCATTCTCTTTATCTCATCTTAAATGAGGGGTTAAACGTTAAACCACAGATTAAGAATATGTAGCTAGCTACGTTAAACCGTTGGTTTCGGCTGCATATGCATGACGTTAATGTCCTCCAATCCGCATTGGGTCAGCGTGGAGAGTCATGACCCAATCTCCTGCATCCATAAGGAAGACTCGGAACCCTGCAGTGAGGACGTAAGGGGAGTTTAGATTTTCTACCGTGTGAACGTCTTTTTACTAACTCTATGATGTCATCGAGCAGGGTAAATGAACTATTAAATATATTACGTATATTACGGATATAAATTAATGGCTGGAAACATGTATTCCGCATTTAAAAATTATGTAGTACTTACGCCATTATGGTGTCACTAAACAAAACATAGGTAGTGCTTACTTTATTATAAACAAAAAAATAGGAAATGGAGACAAAATTTGATTTAAATATAATTCTAGCAAGGGTAAATATATATTAAAATTATTATATAGTATTTTTTGTGTAAGTCTAATTTTTCAAACATTCATTCTTTTCATGGAAAACTTCGTGACGTATTTATAACTCATTCAGTCATTCTTTTGAGTGAGTGATGTGATTTGTGATTCATTCATTTGCTTAGGACACGAGTCGTTATAGTTGCCGAATTTGTACTATTAGAATTTCCAAATTTTCACATAATTTTTAGTGTAGCCAGGTGTAGAACGTAGTTTAAAATCGACAAAGATATTTTAGAACAATGACAGACGTTGCGAAAAAGGTAAATAAAATTTCTGTTTCATTTACATTGCTTTGTTTGACATGTACAAATATGCAATGATCCTACTGTTTTCTGGAATATACCTACGTTGAATATAAATGTTAATCTATATATTGTATTTCTTAATTAACCTGCTACCCTCATATTGGTTTTCTTCTCATTGTCTCTTTGAGTTGCTTTTATCGAACAAGATAACCTCAACTCGATCGGCCATGGGAATACAAATGGTGTCCATGTAACTATCAATGCGTGCATCTTTGTTTTAGGTTCAAGAGTATAAAGATTCTCTGAAGCAAAAGGCTGAACATTTAATAATAAAGGGATTTCCAGAAAAGATAGTCAAATTAAATGAATTGTTAGAAACGCCAAGTTTTCAGAATCGTGATTTCGCTGATGTTCATCAGGTTTGTTACTCTGAATGACTCTCATAACAGCATGTTGTCAATAAAATTTGATTCATGTATGTAACACAGACAATAACAAATTAAAAATAATGATTTCAGGATTTAAACATTCCAGTACCTCCACCAGTTTCGACAGTGAATGAGCCGAATTCTAAACGTCCTAGATTGGATTCATCAGAAGTGTCTAGCAACACTACATTAGAGGGAACTCGGGTATATGCTTTGCCAAATGGGACAGTTCCGTGCAATAAACCATTGTGTGACCTCATACATCTTGTCAAACCTCATATAAGGGAACTTGTTGAAGACTCTAATTTAGTAAGTCTACTTACTTATTTTGCTATTGATCATGTTTTATTATTTGCCTCAGTTGTTATGTTACACTGGAACTTTGCCTGTATAATTTATAGCCTATGCTACTGGTATATGAGGAAGCATATGTTGGTCCAGTAGTCACAGGTATTATTCAAATGCAAATAAATAATCAAATATTTTCTCTTTATATTATTAGCTGCATGTTTAAAATACAAATATGAATAGTATATTATTGACATTGGCCTTATATAAATGCTTATATTAATCTGAAAATCTATCTATCCGAATGGTTTGTTCCAACCAGATTTTTTTTGCATACAATTCAATTAACAAAAAAATGATATTTTTTTGTCATTTAGAAAAGCTGTAATTAATCAAAAATTTTTAATTGTTCAAGAAAATTTGCTTGATACTTAAGAAAATCATATTTACAGAACACTGTTGATTATCCTTAAAAGTTTGATAAAACTATATATATTTTTTTAAATATTAAATAGTATTTAAAAATTAACTTTCCATTGTTTTTTCTTTTTAGTTAAAAATGTGGATTTCATTTATGATTCCAAAAATTGAAGACGGTAACAACTTTGGTGTATCAATACAAGAGGACACGCTTGCTGAAATACAGTCTGTGGAGTCAGAGGCGGCTGCATTTTTTGACCAAATCTCAAGATATTTCATCTCACGAGCAAAGATTGTATCTAAAGTTGCCAAATATCCACACATTGATGACTATAGAAGAGCAGTAAGAGTGAGTTTATTTGATTTACCTTCACTACATAGTATAAAACTACATTGAATGTAGTTTTGGCTGTAGTAGATAAGTCACTTTCTCATTCCCTATATGTCTATGTATGCTTAAATCTTTTAAACTATGCAACGGATTTTCATGCAGTTTTTTCCATAGATAGGGTGATTCAAAAGAAAGGTTTTTATGTATAATACAAGACCATGCGGGCGAAGCCGCTGGCGGAAAGCTAGTTATTTATAAAATGTATATATGATTACTGACTAAGAAAGAATATCACTCAATAAGTCAATGTTTGCTAGGTCATCAAATAAAGTCTGTGTTCTCAACATCTGTTGGTGGATAAGCTTTTAATAGCTTAATAAAAGTTTAGTCACCCACCTGCTTTTTTGGATTCTGTACCCAAAGGGTTTAATGGAAACCCTATTACTAAGACTTTGTTGTCTGTTACCAGGCTATATCTGGTTAACAGTGAGTGTTAGACAGTTAAAAATATTCACAGATGATGTATGATGCTATTGTCAGTTCAACAAAAAATACTAAAAACCATAATAAATATATAAGGAGGCTCCCATACAATAAACATGAATTATAGGTTGTTTCCGGTATGGAACCCTTCCCCGACCCGACCGGAAGCCGACCCCCACATGCCCAGTTTTTTATTATATCATTGTAACTATTCACAGGAATTGGACGAAAAAGAGTATCTTTCACTTTGGCTGGTGATGTGTGAGATCCGCAACCGTTACTGTTCACTGCATGATATTGTTATCAAGAACCTTGAGAAGATTAAGAAACCACGTTCCTCTAATGCAGAGTCTTTATACTAGACCACCTCAATCTCTATTAGTGTATATTTAGTTACATGCAATTGTAAGAATAATTCCCTGTGAATTTAAGAGTAACTCTGAAGTTTTCTTTGTCTTCAAATTTTATGTTCACTAGTATATTTATGAAGAGAGTACATATTCACAAATGATATTGATGCATTGTCTATGAAATAGATCAGTATTATAGAAGTTTCAAATAACTATGTTGTTCTAAATAATTGCTTTGAAAGAACTGTATCCAAATTCTATATTCAGTGGTGCAAGATTGTAACAATGTCTGCAACTTATTAGATTTTCGAGTATATTAGTGAACAAAAACTTGATCCTGAGATTGTATTGTTTTATAGCAATCTGATGCATTATTATATGAATTGAGAGACTTGACTTTTTTAAGTGTAGTTGACAATGTTCTTACATATAGATTAAATTTTCTATTATGACTAATAGCTGCATAAAAGAAGTGTTTAACACTTACTCTTGACGATATGGTTGGTTAATGTAACAGAATGCTGTAAAATTATACTAAATGACGTTAATTGGTATGATGTCCCAAACTACTTATAACATTTTTTTTTTATTTAAACTCAAAATATATGGCATAATCTCATAGACGATAGCGTTACCCTTGTAAGTTTGATGAATGGACCTAATTTATTTTTATTCGAAAATTTCAGTTGTAAAGTGCCTATAAAGTTTCGAGAATTCCCATCTACTTTTAAAGTGATATGAATTGGCTGTTAGTCAACCTTCATTAATTATTATGTACCCAATGTCAATAATAAAAAACATTTTTATGAATGTGTAGTTGGCAGTTTTTGTTTTCAATACGTATCTACTGCATTGAATGTTTTTATATATTTATTTAATTATTTAATATTTATTGCCTAATTTAAAGTACACAAGTGGCGAAATTGATGCCAAAAAGGTATTCTGTCCCAATCATCAACTAAGAATCGCACAGGCGAATAATTATAAAGGTCTCGACTGCAATTTCGTTCCAAAGACGTAAGGGAAAATGTTAAACAGTGTATTTCAGTGTAAAGTACTAGGTAAATTTACTACCGAGCAAAAAAAAGACCTAATTAGGTTAGTGTCCTATATCCCTATATGCAAATTATACATACACCCTACATATCTAATATCTAACATGGGTTTAACTTAATATCGACGCTGGAAAGCAAACACGTAGTAACCCGCAAAACCAAAATGGACATTTGGAGTGGAAAATCTTTATATTTTTCCAAAAAAGAAAAACTTATTTTTGTTTAAATTGACTAAGGAATACCTTATTTGTTACCATGGACGTTTATAGGAATTATTTATCGAAAAGAAATAACCATTTTTCTGCTCCGAAGAACACTTTTGGTTTTGTAGGTTACTTCGTGTTAGCTTTCCAGCGTCGATATATAAACTAATATATTGGACACAATCTCGTACAATGGATTATCATTATCATCAATAGCTTATTGCTACACAGGCGTTTACTAATATGCAAATTATACATACACCCCACATATCTAATATCTAACATGGGTTTAACTTAAATTAATATATAAACTAATATATTGGACACAATCTCGTACAATGGATTATCATTATCATCATCATCAATAGCTTATTGCTGCACAGGCGTTCACTATGGATGGAAGACCTGCCATGCAGGTCTAGTGCGCATTGGTGGGTGTTAGACTGCAGATGCAGTCGCGACCAATAGCACACGACTGCACGTCAGGCTGTCACAATATCGCACACCTAGATCTAAACTGAGACAACTCAAAAATTTGAGTAAGTTTTGACTTTGTACAATATTCAAATTCTCGGTGATCATACGTATCTATCCAACATAACAGATTCAATAAAGGTTCGGGGATGAGCCGCTAATAACTTTAGCTTTCTTTTGTCGAATCAACAGTGGTCACGTTCCTGCCACGTAAACAAATGTACTGTCAGACCTCCACATTAGTTTTTTGAGTTGTCTTAGTTTAGATCTAGGTGTGATTAAATCAAATTTTCTCAATTGTAATTTTGAAGTTTACAATCTAATAAAGTTTAAAATCAAGTGGAGGCATTCGACAGTTTTGTATAGCCTGCTGTTTTGTTATATTTGCTTTAAAACAAATCCAACTATCGTAGAAGGATCTACTATGTAGTTTTATATCTATATAACATAGATCTAATATATAACATAAGATACATCTATGACCTCATAAACAATATACTATATGACGAAGTAGTCCTAGGTTCTATATAGATTGCGTTACTTATTTTTCTTAATAATGTAATCCAGTGTTTTTCACTTACGTAACTACTTGGACTAGTCTTTAAACGTAACTACTTGGACTAGTCGTTTCTCCTTTTATTTAATATCTCGAGAATTTAGTTTATCGTTTAAAATATGACAAAGCGCTTCGTGAAAAGGCAGGGAATACATTTAGTTCAGCTCGTCATTACGGGCTGTTGTCGTGACCTCAAATCGACTGGATTAATGACTACTGATTGCTGGTAATTGAGTGGTCATCCATTTCTCATCAGGAGATACGATTTGTCGAGAAAAGCAAGAAAACATAATAAAGTTTGAATACTTATTTTACCGTAAAAATGCTGGCCATATATATTGGATACATAAATATTTAAACTGCATGATTGATTTGACATCACATTCGTGAGTCAAGTTACTTTGACTGTTAATGTTCATGTCTTAGATTTTTTACATTGATTTAATATCTATCGTATAGGATTGTAATTTTTGTTAGTGTATATTCGTTATGGATTTATTTTAAATGTACAAAAATGGCGAGCCCTTATAGCAAGGGCCACTTTGGTGATAGTGTACGTAACCAGCCAGAATGGGAAGTAAACGCCAATAATTCGAATCATGTGTTTGATGAAGCCGGCGAGAACATTCAGTATCATAGTGATTCCGAGTCCTTGGGCTCGAGAAAAAGTAAAACACGGTACATAAACCCAGCCATATACATAGAGACGGTAGAAGCGACTCATTCGGTGACGTCACTGCAGACTGATTCCTATACAGAAGATGTGACTCCTCACCCTCACAGTAGCTATCGTAGCAATTCTACACCTTTCCTTAGCGGACGTGATAGTGACTCCTCATGCAGTATAAAAAGGAAGTTGTGCATGTTACCAACTAATATAAAAGTCACTACTGAGAAATATGTAGAAGAGGAGACGCCCCGTTTCAACCAAACTTACCGTGAAGATGGTGCTGATACATTCAGATTGTCAGTGGCATCGGTTTCTACAACTACAACTGCGAAGGAAGAGAGAGAGCGTAACGAGAAAAAGAAACAGGATGCGTTTAAGCAATGGTTAGCTCGTAAAGAACAAGAGGTAGGTATATAAATAAACGTTTGCTTAAAACTATTTTATATTTTTTTTGTTCTATAAGTATTTTTTTTCTATATTTAATCAAAAACACTCAAAATTTTGAGATCGCTACAAACTAAACGACGATATAAGAGATAAAATTCTATTTTTCTTTGGTTAGACCGATAACTCAAACCAGGAGCTCAAAGAAATGCCATCACACATTTTATGAAAACCTCTCTCTAATTTTGACTTTAATTAAAAAGTCAAGCTTACAAAAAGCCAAACCGTTACGAACTATGTTAAATAGCTATTCTGCACAATTCAATAAGTCAAAATTATTATTAAATTTATGATTCTGAAATCAAAAACTTTAAAATTTACTTTACGCAAAAGCAACAGTCGAGATGTAATAGGGTTTATAAGTTATAAGATAAATAATTGACTTTTAGAAAAAGGAGAAACAGAAAATGGAAGGTAAGACACGCCAGGTGGCTCCCTCGATAACTGTTGAACAACGCGAGGAGTCTTTTCAGAAGTGGTTGCAGAGTAAACGGACGCAGAAAGAGCGGCGACGTGCTGATGAGATCATGCGCCAGTACCGCCAGAATGAGAAGGTGGAATTAGAGCGTATGAAGCGAGAGAAGGAGAGGTTAGAAAAGCTCGATCAGTGGACTAGAAAAAAGGAGGAAGAAATGAAAGGTCGGATTTTGTTTCTAATGTTAATAAAATTGTAGCGGTAAATAAGTATTAGGTATTTCCTTGTTAAAATTAGAAAAACATCCTTTTTCTATCGACTCTAAAATTAAAAAGAATTAATTAGGTGCTATGTTAGACTGTTAAAATGTGTAACAAATGTTAAAACAGTAACATATAGGGTACTTTTTAACAGTTCCCTGGGGCGATCCGCGCGCGAAGCTTGAAAGCTAGTTCTGTTATAAAAACAGACTCGAAGCGCTCTATAGCAGAGGTTCAATTAAATAAAACCTATTTCAATAAAACTGCCTAAATGAAATTACTTATTTTTTAGCTATTTGGGTAAAGGGAAATAAAAGTATGCGATAGTTTAGTACACGACGGAATATAGATCGAAAGTGCAAGCTTACATGTAATAATATATTTTGTCAGTCATCATCATACAAAAGATAATACCATAACGATGGACGCGCCGTTAGGATGTGAAAAGACAAATATACTTTCCTATACATAGTATTAGTAAGGATTGATATTAAAGTAATTTTAATTATAGCTATGAAAACTCGCGAAGAACGCAAAGCAGCGCGTGCTGCTATTGAAGAGGAGAGGCGTCGGTCGAACGGTGAGCGTGCGTACCGCGACTGGCTGCGAACTAGTAAGAATAAGCCTCTGCCCGTACCACTCAATCAAGGGGAACTCAGTAAGAAACGAAATTTTTACTAACATTTTATTTGAATTTTTTTTTATGAAGCACTAAGTACTCCGAGATGGGACTCGATCCCACAAACTTTCGCAATCCGGGGACTGCTCTAGCCATTGAGTTATCTGAGTGAAAAAGGACTGACGAACTTTTCAAGCATTCGTTACTTTTTGTTACTATTAGTGAAATAAAATGAAATGAGTTACTACGTACTTCGGAAGGCATGTTAAGCCGTTGCTCTCGCTTGCATTTGTAGTCGTTAATACTGTCTAATCCGCATTGGGCCTGCGTGGAGGGTCATAGCCCATCATCTTAAAACCATCCATAAGGAAAGCTTGAGCCCCAGCAGTGGGGACGTAAAAAGACGATAACGGTACGACGCACCGTTACAGTACAGTTGAGAAATTAGACAGTCTCATACTAAGCCAGCTGAGTTGTGGAATAATCGTCTGGTCAGCATAATATTTGATCTCCACCAACCAGGCGGCATAGGAGCGCAGCATTTCAAAGCAGAACACTCATTAGTAACCGGGCTGATATGATATTAATAAGCTAGTGAATAGGATGGCGTAGTGATTAGCGCGCTCGGTTTACAGTTGTTAAGCAACTTTCACAAAGGCTGGTCATAGGATGGGTGACCAAAATTTTTGAAATTGTTGAGCCGTTGTCCCTGCTACATCTGCAGTGGATATAACTCATCAATCCGCACTGAGCTCGCGTGGTGGTTTATGGTCAATTCGCCCTATTCGATATGATTCGATGCCATCCATATGGATGGCTCCTCCAGCTCCAGCAGTTGGGACATTAATGGCCTGGTGATGACGATGATGAATAAATGCTGAAATCGTACACGACGTTACGTGCTCAAATCCAGTTTTGATCACATGAAATGGTAGATTTTTGTTTTTTTTCTTTAAAACTTATCAAAAATAAATAAAATCTGTTTTATTTTTATAGGTATGCGTGGTTCAGTGTCGCAAATGTACATCAATCCGATACCCTGGCAAGCTCCTACTTGAAGGATAATGTCTTTTGAAGGAAATCAGACGTTCAGATGTTGGGTGCAGAGGATGTAACTTCAATGTTAATTGTCTGTTCATTTTTATTTAATTATCTGACGGTTAAATTATTAATATTTGTGACTATAGTATATTTCGTAACCGTAAGGCGTTTTAGACTAAATTTTCATTTTTTAGATTAATGTTTTGTTGTAGTTACCTTTATTTAGTCAAAAGATCTGTTCTAGGCTGCAATCGGGCTTAGACAAAATAAAACAAGCTGTTTTTATCTCCATATGAGTTTAATTTCTAAATCTAAATTAAATTTTGTATTATATCAACAGGGTCCCGTCAAGTAAAAATTTAAATTATTTCATAGAAAAACCACGAACAATTCACAAACATTTATCATTCGGCACACGAGATATAGAATTCACTAAAGTTAACAAAATTTTAAATTGTAGTGTAATTTTATTAGGTGCGTTGTAACAAGCAAATAAGTAATTCCTTCTTTTATACACACTCCAACTTCGCTATAATAGTCTTTATATTATCTTAATACTGCAGTTGTTACTGCAAAGGGGTTTAATTTTGCGACTGCTATTGATTCCACAAAATTCCCATCTTCAATTACGTATGTAGCTTGTTGTTATTATCAGGCTGTAGTTATTATAATTTATCAGTATGCTTGTTCCTCTTCTTTGAGTCGTAGTATGTCCGATTTATTCATAAAGTAGTAGGAAGGCTGCCGTCCTTTTAGGTCCTTGAGGACCCGTTTGGCTCCAGCTCGTATCAGCACTCTACTTAGGCTCTCCATTTTCTCAACTCCCATTGCGTAGTGAAGTGGCGTACGCTCCAACTATAACGAAGAGTTTCTTTTATTTAACTAATATTTTTTTGTATAGTGTATAATAAAGTCATGAAATGGGCAAAGCCGCTGGCGGAAAACTAGTCCTATTATAATTTAAGGAGTAATTTATTTGAGGTGCATTTTTTTCAATATTGATTTACGACAGTAATTTTTTATTAGATAGTTATCCATAATTTTGCAAGGAAATTTTTAAGATGTAGGGTTTTTTTCATAATATTGAATTAAAAGATCTGACATAACTTGATCGAAATGTTTGCTCACTTCATGCCAGTCATAAATATATTCTTTGATTTTAATTAGTACGGGGTGACGTCCACTTGAGTCATTAGACCATTCCATCATCCTTTAGTGGGTAGCGTCTCATGCTATATATACAAAAATAATATTTTTGCAATCAACTTTCCAGTCGCCTTGCGTCAAGCGCAGTGCTATAAGATAAGACACGTGCAGCTTGGTCTTTATCTGTGTTTTAGTTATATCGTAGCTTAAACTAAAACATGCAATTGTCATGCGAACCTACCGGTGATGGATCGCGGTCTGAATGAATAGCAGGCGCTGTGGTGGGCTGTGGTAGATTTAGTTTTAGTACATATGGCTTGCATGTTGCTAAGGTTTGGGTATAGTGTAGACATATGTCAGATAAAACAAACTCACGTTGTCACCGATTCGCAGTAGTTCTGGAAAGGTTTGCGCTATATACGCAACAATGTCTTCGTGTTGAGCTAGCACAGCGATGTGGAGAGATGTCCTGCCGAAGGTGTTCATGCTGCGAGCTAAGGTACGCCCCCCTTCTGCTGACAGCTGCTCCCGTACCGCCGCTAAGTCACCTCTTCTGACGGCAGCATGTAATGCCTCCCGGGATTCCTAACCAATCGTTTTGAATATTGGTGAATTTAATGCAATGGCCCCAGAAACCGTATTTTGAAATTAAAAGAAATGTATAAGTGCAATCATAACAGTAAATTGTACATTTGAAGGTCTTCAGAAAGCAAATAATATCTCGCAATGTGTAAGTTGCTTAGTATTAACACATGAAACAAATATAATAAAGAATATAATAGGTTTGCTTGCTTGTGAATTTCTAAACTGTTAACCATATGGTACCTTTTTAACAAAAATAGGTGGTGCGGATAATAAAAAAGTACGCTATTATTATTAATTCAGGCTACAAATGTAATCTGTATCAGACATAAAAATTATTCTAATAAAAAATGATTAAATAAATCTAGTCCCAGGTACCGAATGTTTTATAATAATTAATTTAAAATGATTCTTTAAGGACATTTATTAATATAGCAATGCAAACTTTTTACTATTATCAAACAATAATATAAGCAGAAAGTTGGATTCCATGGTGAAAATAATCAGAATAATTAAAATAAGAAGTGTCTTAGTAAAGGATTTAAGTTTACATGAATTGACAATGAAATGGTAACAATACTGATACGATATTAATATTTTTATTAAGCTATGGAACTAATCCAAGAAGTATATTAAACTAGATATAGTAACACAAAAGGCGGCCTTATTGCTAAGGTAGCAATCTATACCAGGCGACCCTAGGATGAAGGAAACGATACCAATTATGGAAATTAATTGCGGGTTAATGCATTAGGAGAAACAACACATGAGAATATTTATAAATGCAAATACATCATCTAAAATAAATTAATAAATATATAATAATAAAGTAAGAGTGCAAGTTCAGGAAAAATAGTCTGTTTCTTTATCAATTTAATAAATGATTTCCGTGACTGCCCGCATCTAATATCTATATGCAGAGAGATCCATAGTTCGTTCCGCAGATCATGGAATAGATTGAAAGACGACGAAAAGACGAAGAGTGAAAGAAAACGCTCCTGGTAATAATGATTTCCGTGACTGCGCGCATCTAATATCTATAGGCAGAGAGTTCCATTGATCATTCTGCAGATCACGGATAAGATTGAAAGACGACGAAAAGACGAAGAGTGAAAGAAGTTAATGCGGTGTGCGTGGGTGAAACAGGATGGAATATGAGAGTGTCAGGATATGACAGTGTCTTTTACGGGAAAAAGGTAGCTATTGAAGTTGGGCTCGATAATTAGAAATATGATCATGCCTAAATAGACTAAAATGAAAAGAATGCACAAATTCTGAATTTTGTTTAGAAAACCGATACTTAGGTTTGAATGGCTTGAATCAGCATAGTCAAGTAGTAGGAGAAGAAAGGACTGACCAAAAGTAATTTTAGTTTTAGTCGGCAAAAGGTTCTTAAGTTGCTGCAGAAATATTAGCAAATCTTTAGTCAATAAATGAACCTTAATAATACCTCAAACGTCGGTATAGAAGCGAGTAGACTGCTCATCTCAGTGTCGCCTCGTTGAGTGATCACGTCTAATACTGGTGCGCCTTCTTCATCTACTACGTCCAATATATGATCGTAACCCTCTAGTAATAATTCCATTATTTTCTCTTTGTTTCCTGTAATATTATTGATTATATGGGGGTAATAGACTTCGTAAACTAAAATTAACATTAATATATTCTCAAAATCAGTTAGTCCACTGTGTAACTTGTTTAGTATGGACTACAATATCGTTTGGCGTACATTCCCGATAACTCTAATTGAAATGAGATCGTTATTCTTATTATAATGTAAATACTTTATTACTTGACATTTAGTAACTTATAGAGCATCGCTTGACGCCACATTTCAATCAACGTCTATGTTGCGAGTGCAATCAGGCTATGCAGTCTTGCAGATAGTTAAGGAGCGATCGCAGAGTTCAATTATCGTACTGTCAAACTCGATCGCTAGGAAACTAATAAATGTCTTCTTGCACTCGATACGTACCAACAAATAACAATGTACCTAATTGTAGAGACTTGCAATAATCGTTAACTTACGATCGCTATGAATCAGCGACTCCACTGCATGCCCACTACTCATGATTCACTGAAATGTGACGTCATGGTTCGAAATGTCACGTGACTGATTAACAATTTAAATAGATGAATAAAGATAATTATGTTTATTTTACTGAATAAAACTTTTTAACAGAAAAATAAGTATGTTAGTAGTTTAAAATACGAAAATATTTTTTCCATAACAATAAAGTAGCCAATTTAATAAGAAAAAAATATTGATGGACATAATAACTGACCTCTAGCGGCTAAGTGCAGCACCCATTTGTCGATCTCGGATGTGTTTTCTGGAACATTTGCCTGTAAGGAGACGTCCCGTGCCGTCCTATAGAGTTCATCCCGGTAGCCAAGGCTGACGTCTGATTCTTGTAGTAATTGAAATAACGCATTCCGCGTGTGCGCCCGAGCCGCTGCAAAATGTAGCATCGACTGTCCGTGTTCGTCCTGTGAATATTATCAAAATTATATAGTTTATAAAATGTGGAAAAACCTAAAAAGGAAAATACTGCCATCACTAGTCTGCTGCTATTGCTTCTTTTTTTTTTTAAGCATTATTGTACGTAATACCCAGTTGCACAAACATTACCAATTAAATTTTGAAATATACAACAAAAATTAGTACTTAAAGTCATAATTGAAACCTTAATTAATGTTTGTGCATCTAATCGAAAGTCATTAAACCTTAATGGACGTTTTTTAAAACGGTGTAAATAGTATAAATGTATTACTACTTGCAATGTGCGTAGAAAGATGCTGGAAAGTGGGTAAAAGAGGAATGATCACTACTAAGGAAATATGATGACTATCTTTTTGTGTAAAAAACTGTAAAATGTAATCATTTCTCTTCACATTAGACTAGACCCTCTACTAGACTAGGCTAGATGGCAAAGGACTAGGCTTGCTCTGGAAAATATCCTTTAGATACACCCATGCTACTTGATTTTTAGTTTATTAGATTAGGCATTGTAATTATGTTTACCCTGTTAGCACTACTAAATGCAGCCTCGGGTCCATCTGGGCTAGGTTCGGTCTGTGGCTCTACGGCGACTACGTCGATGGGCCGTGGTCGCGTCGTCGCTGTTTTTGTACTAATACGTGTGGCTACATTAGTTGCTGCTTTGCCAATGTTTACTGATGCTGCAGCTGGTGGTGGCTGCTCATTTTCCACTTCAGCTGCTTCCCTCGTTACTATCGTTTTGGACTCCTGTAAGTTGTTGAATTATTTTGCTTGTAATAAATTTAAATTGGAAGCTTCTACATTGGAAGCTTCTTTACCAATTTAATTTAAAAAAAAAGATTCAATTTTGTATGTATTTAAATAGTATATAACTACAAGTTTCAATAAATTTACTTAATACACTCTCTCAACCAAAGTCAAATTATTATCTATAAATAAAAATAACGTGGAATATACAACATACAAAAAAAATCTAGGATTGAGAGCCTTCTCCTTTTTTGTCAACGTTCTCAAAACAATTTAGCTTCTTATAACATAATGGCTTATGCACTCGAGATCTAGTGATAGTATCAAATATTTGAAAAGGAAAATTGAAAGCTTTACTACTGAAAAATTTATAAGATTTGTAGATATTATGTACAGTAACTTACCTGTGTACCTAAATGAGGCTTTTCATGGTCAGGAAAGTTATGAAGAAAACTGGCGAGGAATGCAACTGGATCCTTAGGCTTTACATTCGCCACTTCGGTCAGACCTTTTATCAAAGGATCGCCGAGAGCTGCAAAAATTGTATCCGGATAATCGCTTCTATCGCCTTTGGTTCTATTCATTTTAATTAAAATTAACAAAACAATTCATTAAGTAGAAAAATCGCTTACACTTGGCTAGATATCTGCCCTCTTCCGTCCTGAAGATGGGAATGTCCATGTGGCCATTGATAGCGTGGCTCATACCTGAAATCGATTAAATATTCATTGTGATGGCCTTCAGTGTACTGGTGTGGGAATCGACAATATGTGTAGTTATACGGTCCATGTAGACTTGGTTAGTAGAAAAACTACAATTATCAGTTGCCCGTGTTAGTACATTAAATACAAAGCCACTATTAGCACACGAGTAACAATAATTGATATGCCCTACCAACGATCGATCGTAATGATACCAATTCAATAGAAAAAAATGTTTAGTTAGGACGTTTGACGTATTGTGAGTTATTAGTTTTAACAATCGCATTTGATATCGATTTAGTTTAGAAATTAGAGTAGTTAAACAAAATGTATTTTGTATGACGTTTGAAATAGGCTTACTCGTTAAATTTGTACGTAAAAAATTAATTGTGGTATTTTAAACGCACACGAATTAATTCAATATCTAATGTTGTGACGGAATAGTATCATTGGTAACGAACGAACAACAACAACAAAAAATAGATTATTTATTCATAGAAAAAAAAAAATATAGGTTATAATGATTCGGAATAAGTGTTATATTTTTAACCATCACTATACCCTATAAATAATATTAATGGACAAAGAATTAATTGTTTACACACAAACACACGCTATCTGATGTTGGAAAGACAGAATATGGTGGTAGCTGGTGGTAGTGCATAAAATACAAAAGCTCGCTTACATTCGTAAATAGTGTAAGTATAAGCGTGAACGTTAGGCAATCACGTCACTCCAGAAATTAACACGCGAACGTGTATTATTAGTACTGACCTAATATGACATCGGAGAATTCATATATCCTTTTTTAAACTTCGTTGTCAGCAACTACAGTTGTATTTATCCAGTACCTAAATCTTTCCAACATTCGACATATGTATTCTATAAAAAACTTAATAAAAATGCAAATGAATCAAACAATCTTTAAAAATATGATAAAATTATTAAGTATCGGAGTTGTCTAAATCAGCCAAGCTGCTCCGTTTTCTTCGGAATATATTAGATAGCATCGTAGCTATATGTGCAGAATTCTGCATAGCTAAATCCTTTTCAAGGTGTAGTAAGTTTGAAGCTGCGGTAACGAAATCGTTAAAGCAATTTGTTTCAGTCACATTTAAACTTTGATAATTACTTATTCGAGCTATATCCGCACTGAGAGTTTCGCGATACTGTAATCCTCTCATAGCACACAAATGTTTCATATTATCTGCATCTTTTGAAAGCCCAGGAAAGTTTACAATTAGATTGAAACGTATACCAGCTCCTAAAAAGGTAGGTCTGCTACTTAAGTGACCAAGTTTTTCATCCCAGACGAAATCTATTTTGTCATGTAGATAGCCCATGATATAAGACATTTTACTGAAAGTCTGTCCTATCTCTCCTGGGTTATCAACTGGATTGCTTACGAGTACTCGTATATGATCGTGTACGTTAATCCATATGGCTACAGTTTTGTCTTCATTTACGAAAACACCCCGTCCGTAAGGCCAATGGTTTCCATGAAGACGAGTGCAATCATCTATTTCCTCTCTATCACACAATGCTATTAATAACCCGCTAGAGGCTAAATTGGCGCATATTTCTGATGGTTTTTCCATAACTTCATTTAAGGTATAATATGTCCCACCTTTTTGATCTGACTCTGCGTTCAATGAATCACTTAATTTTGCAAACTTTTCATGAATGCATACTGTAGTTACAATCCTTTCAATAGTTTCTAATTGGCCTATTTTGAGATTTAATGGAAGCTCAAATCCGTCTATATTTCTTGAACATTCCATAGTTCCCGAAAGAACAAAATCATCGTTAGGATCTATATTTAATTCTAATAGTGGTTGTGCTGCTATTGTCGCTGTAGGTTTAAGTAATGGTTTGTTAAAATCGGATGGCGGATGGGTATGCCAATCAAAATGAATATTAATATTATGTAAATCTTTGACAAGAGGGAATAAAAATTCATGAAATACTTCATAAACGTAGTAATCTGGAGCAGCTATGCCTCCAGGGAAATCTTCTTCAACTGTTTGAAGGATATTTCTGTTGTCTGGCAATTTTTTCACTGCTGGCCAAATAACATCAAAAAGATCATGATCAAGTTTTGTGATTCGATGTTTAATAGACTCAAATATTGGTCGTTTTAAGAATCTGCCTATAACCAGTGGTGGTGTTGCTCTATTAGACGAAGCCGAAAGAGGTGTCCGATTTGGTTTAGCTGATGCTAAAAGTCTATAACACCGTTCCAAAGTATCCAAAGCTTCAGGTGCGTTCAAAGAACGTCGAGATGATACTCGGTCCTCGGGCACTATCACAGTCAATATAATTGAAAAATCAATAAATTAAAGAGTATTATTCAGTTATTGTTATCTTAATATATAACTTAGATGTTTATTTGTTCATTATTACTATACAAAAAAGGCAGATTTAAGTAAGTATTTTCAATCAGTTGATGTGAATTCATATATAGGATGTTGGTAATGATATTATGTATGGTTGATGGTGGGCATTATGTGCTGTATTCAAATTAAAATCAATGATTTTTACAGCTGATGTATTATATTTCAGTAAAAGTTATAACAGCAAATATTCAATGTGCATATTTTCCTTGTAAAATCTTCAAATGTGTGTACAACAAAATTGATTAAAATTATATGTTAAAGTTTAAATTGAGGTTTAAGGATCAATACCTTTGTCTGATAGCATGTCTTGGGCAGCTTCTTCACTTATTCCAAAATCCGTTAACATTTGACTAAATGGCAACAGGTTTGGATTGCTTAAATAATCTTCAGCTGATCTTCCACTCTAAAATTGATAAAATAATTAACACATATTCCTAATACTAAGTTAAATTTAATCACGGCATCTTACATCATCTAAATCTTTAGAATTAGCTCCAAGTTGTTGTAATAAATTATAATAGTGACCGTTGTCTGGCAATACTGCTGCATAATGTAATGCAGTTCTTCCTTCATAATCTACTGCCGAAAGTGTCTCAGGAAATCTGAAATAAACCAAACTAACTTATGAAGTACGCCTACCTTATAAATATGTAATTGCGGATATTTTAAAGATGTAATTGAAAGTTGTACCTTCCCCCAAGGTATTTAATAATATTTGTTTTTCCAAATACAGTAGCAACATGTAAAGGAGTGGCACCATTTGGTGAAATAGGATCTCGTGCTATTGCAAATTTTCGCCTATCCAAAGCTGCTTGTAATTCTCTTATATCTCCTTCTCTTGCCGCTACATGTACTTTGTTGATTTTTTGCTAGAAATGCCATTATATTATCTTATTCAAATATTCGTGGAAATATAATAATTGCATATAAAATACTCAAACTACGTAAATAGAGAAAATTTGAAAATAATTGGTGGGTGAATGCTTAATAATGAATAAAAAAATACTGTCATTTTAATAGTTTTAATTATATTTTAGTTTATTAGTTATATTAATGTGTTTTATAATTTCATTTATGATTATTTAATTTGTGTCTAACCCAATCTATTTGAAGAAATTTTTCAATAGGTCCAGCTATATATTTAATAAAGAACATCATACTTTAAGTGTGGTTCCAGGGTTCCTATTGATAGACCCATTCACAAGTGAATAATATGTTTTTGCATATATTGCATAAAAATACAATACTTTGAGATCTATACAATAATATCTCTCAACAAAACCTTTGGTTTCGACTTTGAAAAGCTTTTTACCATGTATGTCGGCACATTGTCCAAAAATGCTTGCAATTCAGAGTTACTTGAATGCCTGCCTACTAATCTTGATCCTTCACCGTTCAATACCAAAGTTGCTAACATTTCCATGTTAGTGTTATTTATCAAGTCTGTTACCTCTGGGTCTATTTCATTATCCTGTTAAGAGCAAATATTATTGATAATAATTTAGTTTGTAATTAAAAGACTAAAGGTGTAAGGCGTTCGCGTTCTAAGTTGGTTGGTTCAGGAACACAGAACTAAGAAGCTGGCAAATTATTTGACAGTGGTGTTACGAGGTGTCTATGAGAAATACACGGTGCTACAATGATGCTGCTAGTCTAAAACACCACAACTGAGTATATAGTTTAGTAAGCGTTACCTTTAATATTTGGTCGTGTTTCGTGATCGGTGATACAGTTATAAATTATACTTACAACGACAAGTATATCTTCATGCATCGATCCATCTTTTTGTGTAATACTTGCATCTTGTGAGTCCTGCTCGGCTTCTCCACTAATAATGCCTTCGATAAGACTTTCTTGTGAACTTCGGCCATCGGACACGTTTCCTTAATTAGCAAAATAATTAAAAATATTGAACTTGTCAGGGACCCTCTTATAAATGATTAGGAGATTATGGATTATGTCGTAATTGTTTCGTGTATAGTGCCAGAAGAGATGTCAGTTTTACCTCTCTTGGCACATTCCATTTCAACTACATCAGCGGTATTTTGGTGATTTATGTCATTGTATTCTGTATATGAGTCTCCTTGTACTTGAACATCGTCATCGTCTTCGTTGTGTTCATTATTGTAATTACCTTCTTTTGTTGTAGTATCAATTTCTTCATTAGCATTATTATTTACACTTTCAGAATTGTCATTCTCCTTATCAATGCTTTGTTTTCTTTTCTTTGGTGTAGTGTCTTCTTTTGAATCAGGGTTTTTGTTATCTTCGTTAGGATTATCTAATTCATCTTCGTCACTTTTTCTAATTTCATCTTCTTCAGAATTTTCAATTTTCAAACTTTCTTTTTCTACACATTGGGTGTCAATTTCTTGAGATTCACTGTCTTCATTTTCTTGATGATTTTCATTTTTATTTATGGCCAATTGGGTCAGATCTTCAGTTTCATTAAGATTTTGATTAGTTCTCAAATTTTCAACATCTTTCTGATCACTAAGCTCCTTCTCATTATGAGTATCGTGATTTTCGTTTTGAATGTCACGGTTATCATTTTGTTCTTTTTCATGTTCATCATTACTTGTAGTTTCATTATCATTATTTTCATCTTCAGATTTATTTTGATCAACACAATCTTCATCACCTTTTTTATCTTCATCACCCTTTTCATTTGACTCATTTTCAAGAACATCTTCGTGTTCCTGTTTTTCTTCAATATCTACTTCCGTTTGCTCAGTATTTATAGTTTGATTGTCATCAACGTTAACGTCGTTTACATCTGAATCCTAAAATATAAAACATTAAATTCATGCAGATGCTTATTACAAGCAATGCAAATCAAACATAAGAGCATCTCATGATAATATATCATGCATATCTTACCTTATGATTTGATACATCTGCTTTATGAGTATCATCTAATTCCGGCAAGTCTTTAATAAACTCTCGTGTACTGCTTGATTTCATTCCTAAGTTGTTATCAGTACTTTCAGAAATTGTATTGGTATTTATTTTAGATGAAACATTTTCATTTGATGCCTTCAAATTTTTCCTACGAGATTTTTTACCTAATTCAGCTATAACATCAGTATCCAGTAACTTCCAATCCCAGGAACTGGGATAAGCGCTAGATGCAGTTCTAGGTGCTTCGGGTAAGCTTTTTAATATGTTCTTGTCTATTTCTTGGGGTCTATTTATGTAATATGCTGGTGTTTTATTTTTCTAAAAGAACAAAGGCACATGTTTATATATTTTCACGCGCACTGCTTATTAAACAAATTTACATTTGAACAGTTTTATCATGTGTATATTTGAAAATTTTAAAATAAGAGCATAGCCATCATAGAATACTTATTGGATATATTCACAATCACAATACAAAAAAAATATCATATGGAAATGTTTGTATTAATTAAATTATTTTAATAAAATATTTAAATTATTAAATTTATAGTTTATTTTCTCCTGACTACTATGAAAAAAATCATACACGCGATAAAACCAATTAAAAGCAAATTTATTTAAAGAATACAAGTACTTAAATTTAAAAATTTCGAAAAATATGAGATTTGTAATTATATATAGTTAGTAAAAAGTTTTTTTTTTTTGTAATTATGTAGTACGTCGCAGTTTTGCAACGACTTACGTTATCAGTAACGCTTTCATCAGCACCATATCCTACAAGTGTATTGTAAGTGTGTTGGTCATCTCTTACTGCTGCGGCATAATGTAAAGGAGTGCGTCCATCATTATCCACATCGTTTATGCCTTGAGGGTACCGATCGATAATATATTTTAAGATACCTCCGTGTCCTAATCCAGCTGCCTAAAAAATCATCCTTTGAGGGTTAGATGAAACTCGTTTACTGTTTGGATTGCTATTGTATACAAAGGTAAGATACCATAATTATCATCAAACTTAATGATGACGAATTCATAGAGAAGTAAAAAGTCAGATTACTCTGAAAGTCATATCTTAAAGTGTGTTGAAAAAGAAACATTCCTACATTTAATTTTTAATACAAGTAATTGTTGTTTGAAGGTAAATTGTTTATATATTTAGGATGAGCTTTAAAATATGTTGTTTTTACCTTTTATGTTCATTAACATCACAATGAATTAATTTGAAAATATTTTTTTTTGTTGTAGATTTTTAAATCCCAAAGAAATCGGAAACTTGTCAAATATAAAGTGCATGATAGCAATCCCGCTTATAGCCATCATTCTCAAACTTTATTGTACGCTATGTTTCCAACAATAAGGATCTAAGGTCACCTCGGTCACAAAAATCAATAGCTAAAAATATTTTTCAAATTAATTCAATCAACGAATCATAATCAAAAGAATACTAAAGTCATTAAACTATTTATCGTCTCATACCTTATGCATGACTGTCAAATTGTTCACATCCCTGCTGGACAACGCTTGCGGTGGCACGGGGTCGCCGGCGTGCTTCATTAATCCCTCTAAGTCGTTCTCAATCACTGCATTGTGCATATCTCGGATTGTATTCTGAAAAAAAAAGAGAAAATAATATATTAGTACACCTATAAACACCGAAAAGATCTAGAAGGACAACAATTTTAAGAAAGTAAGTAAACCTTAACCCGTTAGGGATTATAAAACCGAATTAATCTTGAAGCTGTGATTAGTCAACCTGAAGACGACATAAATAACATAGAGATGAAATAGTGGAGTAGGTACACAATTAAAATAAGAGTAACAAATATGAAATATTCAACTATTTTATTCAAATGTTATTAATTTTTATCTGCAAAAGCCAAATTATCTCTATAATTGAAAACATGGAGCTGAATAAGTGGAAGTTAATGAAATAAAGTCTAGAGTAGATTGTAATTTTCAAAGGTACTTTTTTATTTAAAGAGAGATAGGTTAGATAATAAATAAAAACATCATACCATGATATATGGCACGGCTTCTAAAAACTTCTTTACGACTGGCTGGTTGGAGACTTCACTGAGCAAACGTGTCCCATGACCCTCCCACACGACGCGCTGCAGCCGCGCCATGTCGCAGTCGTGACACCATATTCGAATGTTGTGACGTTTTATCACCAACCCTATTAAATCAAGAACATTTATTACGGATTTATTAATTTGATTATGCGTTTCAACCTTCAGAGTACTACGAGTACTTAAAAACAGTTTATCTTACTTTTATATCTAATTTTATGGTCAATGGGATGATGGATGGATTAGATATCTAGAAGTTTTCTATTATTCAGAAGGCAGGTTAAGTAGTTGGTACTGGCTTATGTACCATCTGTGGTACCTGCTCCATCTAAAGTCGTTTACATTATCATTTTGAATCGGTGGAATAAGGATGGCCCTGACCCCGTAAAAAGTAAAATAATAATTGTATTCAATAATAGTTTTATGTAACATTGATACTTATAATTTAATAATTTTGACATTGGACATATGACTTTGTAATTTGATCAATATTTGCATGCTATCACTGATGGATAAATAGGCTGAACTCAAATTATATTTCAATCTACAGTGTACCTCATTTAAAAAGCAAATAAATTTTTATTATTATCCCTTCGGTCCGATGTGTGAGAAGAGTTTGATATTGGGGATCGCCCCCACTTATGTGGAAGTTCTACTGTGCAGGTCAAAGGGGCTTATCTAGTAAAAACCCTGGGTATACTTTCGTTTATGGTTATACGGCGGTTACAAATTCTCTGGTTTCGTAACATGTGGGTGGAAAGTTTCAGGGTATGGCGAGCCTTTCCTAGCAGCAGGGACATTAATAAGCTAATATTTTTTACTTTATTTTTACATGTGATGATTCTTCTCTCGGTATATCTTTAAACGCTATACTGGGTAGGAAATCATAAATTGATTTTTAATTTTTATAAAATATTCCTACCTATTTCTGTCAAATTTTAATTATTGTATTTATATTACGAAAAATAATATAATAATCTAAAGATTAACCTGCCATACTCTGGCGCTAGTGTACAAAACGGCACAATTGCAATATCGATCAGTCGCGATTGCGTTCGATAGCAAGGCGGCTGATATCCTGAGATGAAATCTGAAATCTTTACAGCGTTAAATATATGTCAATACAAAGTCAATAGTTCGTGAAAGAGGACCAGATTTGTATTTTATAAAGTTAAATTCATTCCATGAAGACAAAATCAAGATAACTTAGACCTAATACTTCCAAATTAAAAGTAATTCTTCGAAACACTAAACAACCACGAAGAACCAATTTTCTATAATAGGTAGTTGCCTACTTAACAAGACCTATAAAAAACTTTATACAATCAAGTTTTCCAATACTAACTAACTTCAGACTTGACCCATTAAATGGAAAGTCAATTGGATAGTTTTTGTCAATGGCGTGACTGTAAGGATAGAGGATATATTTTATTCAATCTCTTTAACTATGCTCGTACATTATCCTAATATATGTTCTATCACTAACAATAAAGAGGAAAGGTATGATGTTTTGTTTAAGATTATTGGAATTAATAAAAACTAGTGTGTCTAAAAAAACCGGCCAAGTGTGAGTAGGACTCGCGCTCGAAGGTTTCCGTACTATCTATCCATTAAAAAGTAAAAAAAAAACACATTCGATGGTTTCTATGGAGTCTAATTAACGTACTAATAATGAAACATTTTGTAGTACGAGAAATATAGAGAAGAAAAACTAAGACCTTCTTGTTATAAAAACCCTTCGTCTCATCAGTTTCATCAAATAATTTATTTAAACAAAAGCAATTAGGATAATATTTAAACAATTAGGATAACCGTTTCATCATGTCACAGACATAGAAAAAGTCCTAATTTAATTATTGTAACTGTTAAATCTTTGGTGTTAATAAAAAGTCAGTACCCGT